CTCGTTTATTCATGCTGTGTGGGCGTTTTTCTATCTCGATGGCTTCTCTGATTATTCTGTTGTTAAAGTGTTCAGTTTTGGCGATAGTTCTGGTCTTTTTAAAGTCAATTTTATGTCCTGTGGCTTTAAGGTGTTGGACCAGGGAAGAAGTTGGTTCCTCGTTTCTGACTGAGTTTTTGTGTTCTTCAGTGCATGCACTTATTCTTCTGTTGGTTTGTCCGATGTATGTGGTGGGGCAGGCAGTGCATGGGATTTCATATACTCCTTGATTTTCAAACTCAATTTTGTCTTTGGGGTTTCTTAGGATGGTGGATATTTTTCGGTTTGTGCAGAATGCTGTCTTGATGTTGTGTTTGTGGAGGATCTTGCTGATTCTGTCTGTGGTGCCTTTTATGTATGGGAGGAGGGCTTTGCCGTTTTCTTGTTCTCTGTCTTGGATTTTAGTGGGGGTTTCTTTTTGGATTAGGTTGGTATTCCTATTGCTTTGCAATTCGTTGGATGTTAGTACGTTAGTCAGAGTGTGTAGTTCGGTTTTTAGGTGTTGTTCGTCAGCTAAGCGTTTTGTTCTTGAGATGAGTGTCTTGGCTACGGAGTTGATCTGTGCTGGGTGGTGGTGTGAGAATGCGTGCAGATAGCGGTTTGTGTGTGTTTTCTTCTGGTAGATGGTGTGTCCTAGGGAGCCATTGGATTTCTTGTAGACTAAGACATCCAGGAAGGGAAGTTGGTTGTTAGCTTCTGTTTCCATGGTGAACTGTATTTTGGGGTGTAGGCTGTTGAGGTGTGTGAGGAAGCTGTCTAATTTTTCTTTCCCATGTGGCCAGATTATGACGGTGTCGTCTACGTATCTGAGCCAGTGTTTGGGTTTGTAATCAGATTTTTCTAGAGCTTGGTTTTCAAAGTGTTCCATGTAGAGGTTTGCAATGACAGGTGAGAGGGGTGATCTCCCACCCAATCAGTTCATACCCCCACTGGCAGTTAAAAGGAAGAAACAGCTGCGATCACACATTGCTCCTAGAAGCACGAAGCCGAAAACACCAGCCTGAAGATGACGAATGGGACTTCGTCGAAACGTCGCCAAGACACTTCCAATTTTACATGGGAGAAAATCCGAATAACCAAAGACCTACATACATACATACATACATACATACATACATACATACATACATACATACATAGTCAGTATTATTATTTATTATTATTATTATTATTATTTATTTAGTGATGGATCCTTCGTGTCTCACTTAGTGGCGGCTATAACCAATGAGTGGCCGGTCCACTAGATGCAGACAGCGGTAACAGGCTGTGATTGAATAGTCAACTGAGCCCAGCTGACAGATGGAACAATTCAAGGCTAGGAGAGGTAAGTAGTGTTTATTTAAGTGCAGATTACTGTGAATTGCAGGGTGTTCCTGCCAAAAAGGCACCTTCCCGAGAAGGATTGCCCTGTCAATCACACTGTGTGGGCTGAATCAGTCACCCCCATAGCACAGGCTGAGGAATCCAATTAGCAATAAAATAATAGCCACAGAGAAAACAATTGAGGAATCCAAGAAGCAATAAATTAATAGCCAGAGAGAAAACAACTGGAGAAAGGAAACCGAAACTAGGACGGCCGGCCGACAAAGGGAAACTGAACGTAGAAATTGAAATCAGAGGGAACACCTTCTGCCGGGTAAATAACTGAAAGCAGTAATTGAAAAAACAAAGGGAACAGCCTTCTGCCTGGTAATTAGTAAGAGAGAAGGACGAGTTGCAAGATAAGGAGGTTTAGTAAGGCAGTATGAATCCAGAGGAAAAAAGCCCCATCACGTTTAAAACGGAGCTGACAATGCAGGGAGGAGACTGCCTCAGGGAAGCTAAGAAACCTCTTTTGAAACACTTGCCGAACTGGGACAGTGCTGATTCCAGAGCTGATCAGATGGCAGAGAATGAAAAATCCATGAATGGGAATCAAACAAAAAGAAATACGACCTGTCCTCCTAAAAGTCTGCTTTGGGAGCCAATTTTTCACGTCAGCCCTGGGCTGAGACCAAATCGAAACTGGGGCAAGGTCCAGTCCAGCAGGGGTGTGGCAACTTGATTGATTTGGTCTGATTGGGCTAGAGGACTTCTTTAACCCATTCGTGGATTCTCCATTCTTTTCCATGCTGGAGAATGTTCCCTTTCCTTTTCTGAGTTGCACATTCCATTCCTTCTCTAATATGTGCACTCAGTTCTAACCTTCAGAAACCCTCTGGTTTTTTCTAGGTCTCATGGGACAGGCACACTATTTGAAGAATGGCAGGAGCCTTATTCTCATAATGCCTAATTCTCTAAAGTTACTATTCCTTCTCCAAATAGCAGGATTATTTGATTTAAACAAATTTCTTTTTAGAGAAATAATGGGGCATGCAGCTTGTAGAAGGAATACAATCCGTGGCTTAGAAAAGGAATAAGACATGCGACTTGGAGAAAGAATGAAGACTGTGGCTTGGAGAATGGTGTGAAGAAACAAAGGTCAGTGAAATGCAGCAGAATCTATGGGGGAGCAACTGGAACCTTGCACAGTGGTGCTGGCATGGCTGGCTGTGGTATGAGATTGAGGAGGCATTTCTTTGTGGCAGCAGCAGTACTGAGACTTAAGTAGTGATTTGGGGACAGTGGCTGAGACCTTACGCTGTAGGCCCTATACTTCTACTCCAGCACCAGCACCAGTATTGTCACTTAGGTCATAGGCCAGTGGTGGCGAACCTATGGCACACCGGCCAGTGGCAGCACTCAGAGCCCTCTCTGTGGGTACGCATGCTGTCACCCCAGCAGAGATCGCCAGAGTAGCGAGCACGTGGCGTTTGGAAGCGACGGGGCAGGAAATGAACGAGCAAGCGGTGTTAGCCCCCTGGAGGTGCCCCAGAGATGGTGAGGGACTGGACTCTGCTGTCCTGGTCCCGCCCAGCCCAGTGGCCCCAAAGGCAGGCGCACAAGGGCTGACAGAATCCGGCAGCAGGGGCTGCATAGCCCACTGTGAATACTGGGCCAGCCCTCCAGCAGCAGCGCTGCAGCGGCAGCACACGGAGTCAGGGGAGCACGTGATATGGACCGTCAGACATGCCTATTCCATCCCATCTCTTTTTGGTTGGAGAGCTGATCGCCACTGGTCATCTCCTCAGCCCCCTCAGGGTCTTGCCCTTGGCCTGCAGGTAGAGTGCATTCTCCTCGCGCACCTCGGTACCTACTGCGGTTGCCAGCCACTCGCGCAGGTCTATTAGGCCACCGTGCAGAGCTGCAGGCCTGCCCAGCACAAAGGAGGTGAAGCGGTCAGCTAGGAAGCCCCGCATAGAGATGGTACAGCACACCCAGGACCAGCAGGCAAAAGGCCACCCCAAGCGGGGAAAGCTGGATCCCCATTGGCATCATGGCTGCCCAGGCCCAGCAGAGATGGCAGGGTGTCACGCAATCATAGCTGAGACTGGGGGGCCATGGCACCGATGGGGATCCGGCTTTCCCCACTCAGGGTGGCCTTTGGCTTGCTGGGCGTGGATGTGCTCTACCACCTCTACTCGAGCTTGCTAGCCAGCCATTTTGCCTCCTTTGTGCTGGGCAGGCCATGCGCTCTGGGTGGCAATGGCAGCCTAATGGACCTGCGCAAGTTGTTGGCAGTGCTGGCTTGAGGAGGGGACAAGGTGCATCGGGTGTGCGCGGGGAACAGCCTCCATGTTCAGGCCAAGGGCAAGATCTATGAGGGGGCCAATGAGATGACCAGCAGCGACCTGCTCTCCAACCACAAGCAAAAACAGAGTAGGCGCATCCGGACGGAGTAAGCGCATCCGGCAGTCTGCATCATATGCCTTCCCCCTCCCCTACTCCGCCTGCTGTTGGAGGGCTGGCCTGGTATTGACAGCAGGCTGCAGAGCCCCAGAGTGTGCCTGTTGAGGGGTCAGCAGGCTGTAGCTGCTGACGGACACCGTCGGTCCCCATGCACTCGCTGGCCTCTCTGTGCGGGAGCCGATGGTGTCGGGCAGCAGCTGCCCCAGCCCGCCTTGCCTTGCCCCACGGCAATGGCACCCCCAACCTGACCCCCAACCTGACCCCTGCCTCGCCTTGCCTCACCCTGCAGGACGAGTCTCCTGCCCACTGCCCCACCCGCCAGAAACTCCCTGGATCTCCCCAAACCCTGCCCTGCCCCCACAGGCATCCCCCCATGAGCAACATCAAGGTGGCTATGCCACCCCAGCCATGCCCATCCAGTGGCCACACACCCCCACCCCCCTGAGGGCACCACAATGCTGATGCCGCCCTGGCACTTTGCGATAAATAAATGGGTTTGGGGTTGCAATTTGGGCACTCGGTCTCTAAAAGGTTCGGCATCACTGTCATAGGCCCTAGACCTCTACATCAGCCCCAGCCCCAGTACTGTCACCAGTTGTTGCTGTGCAAGGGAGCCAAAAGGATTGATTGCGTGGGAGATAGAGGTAGCAGTGCCCCTGCAGTTTTAAGTGTGGGTGTGCTGTCAAAACACTGTTGATCATATGATGGTGATGCTACAACGGCTGTAACTTTTGGTACGGATCATAAGTCCACTTTTTTAGCACTGTCGTAATTTTAAACAGTCACTGAATGAATGTTCATAAGTCAAGGACTACCTATACCTTTTTCATGGAACAGAAAGGCTAAATACGTGTAAGGGAAGAGAGGCTACTGGATACCAATGCATATATCTGTAGCCATAGTTATAATTACTGGCACCATATCTGAGATCAACATCCTAATTTTGTATTGTATTGTACCATTGTTTTAAACTGGCTGTAAGCCGCCCTGAGTCCTCCGGGAGAAGGGCGGGGTATAAATTTAATAAAATCAAATCAAATCAAATCTGAGATCAACATCCTAAATTCTATGCAAAAAACTTACTTAGTATCTACTACTCATGTAAAAAAAGGAATCCAATAAAGTACAAATTTCATAACTAAAACATGTGAAGTTCAGCACCCTATTAAGTTTATACATAGTAATACTCTTACCTGGCAAAGAAGAATTTATACAGCCCCAAACCTCTCTCTGCAAAGAACAATGTTATCATTACTAAAGCAGTAATTTTTAAAAATATTTAAACAAAATAAATATTTGTATTGGAAACATTAGCATAGTTAAAAGTCTATGAATTAGTAGTGATTAAAGGATCAAGCTAGAAACTTAGAGACCATGAATTCTAATCACATATTTGTATTTGGTTTGGGAAAGCTGCACATTTTTTCCACATATAGCATGGAAGAAATTAGAGGGTGAATTGATTATAACCTCCCTGAGGCCTAACTAAGAAGGTTGTACATACATAGAATATAGAACACAGAATGAGAGAGTTGGAAGGGACTTTGGAAGTGCAACCTACTGTCAAGCAGGAGACCTTATATTACACCAGATAAATGGTTGCCCAACCTCTTCTTGAAATCCTCCAATGAAGGAACACCCACAATTTCTGAATTCCATTGATAAAGTGTTCTGTCAAGAAATTTCTTCTTAATTCTAGGTTGAATCTCCTTTTAATAAAATTCTGCTCATTGTTCTTGTCTTGCCCTCAGGTGTTTGGAAGATGGGCCAACCCCTCTCTTCTCTATGACAGCCCCCTCAAGTATTGGAAGACAAATATGTCACCCCTAAATCTTTTTCTTCGTTAGTCTAGACATACCTAGTTCCTGCAACAATTCATCACGCAGTTTAGCCTCCAGATCCCTTATCATCTTTCTTGTTCTCTTAATTCATAGCAGTGTTTCTATCATTTTTTCACATTACCCCTAAACTGAAAAAAATACCTAACAGTTGCATTTCCTTTGGAAATTTAAAATATCCCCAAAGCACCTGTGATTTCAATGGGATGCCAGTGCCCACAATTTGGGAACCACACGTCTCAATAATTTGGATAGTTTGATGGAAGGTTAAATAGGGAAGAGACCACCTACTCCTCTGCAGAAGAGAAATCAGGGTGGGGAGCAGCTGCACTGGGTTTTTTTCCTAACATGTTTCTTTTCTCTGCTAGGTGATAGCAAGAAGTTGAGTATCTATCTATCTATCTATCTATCTATCTATCTATCTATCTATCTATCTATCTATCTATCTATCTATCTATCTATCTATCTATCTATCTATCATAAGTTAGAACAAAAACCCAGTGCAGCTGCCTTTCCTTCTCCAGGTTAAAAAATATTGCAAATCCCCAACACATCCTTCTCTTCTCCAGGTTAAATAATCATATTTATGCAATCCAATAACTCACTCCTTCAAATAACTAATAGGTCTGAATCTCTTGATATTTCTGCTCAACATTCAATACCCTAAGTCAGTGATGGCGAACCTTTTAGAGACCGAGTGCCCAAACTGCAACCCAAAACCCACTTATGCATCGGCGAGTGCTGGGTGGGTGTGGCCCATTGGCTGGGTGTGGCCCATTGGGTGGGCATGGCTGCAGTGGTAATGGCAGACTGGGTGGGACTAAAAAGTTCAATCAATCAATTCCAACTTTGCAAGATCTTTTTTTCCNTTTTTCCCCGTGAGAAGTTGAAATTGACTGATTGATTGAATCTTTTTTTTTTTGTACACGGTGGTGCAGGCCTAAAGTGAAAAGGTTTTATAAAACCCAGATGAAGGCCTAGGACTGGGGCGATGGCACATGTGCCCACAGAATGCCCTCTGAGTGCCGCCTCTGGCACCCGTGCCATAGGTTCGCCACCACTGCCCTAAGTCCAGCTAAACCATATAAATTAGCTAGCTAGTTATTGGACTGCATGAATAGGATTCTTTAACCTGGAGAAGGGAAGGCATGTACTGGGGATTTGCGATATTCTGGTGAGGGAAAGAGATGGCAATAAATCAGGGTAATGATAGGTACAAAATCATGTGGGAAGAGACAAGAGATCACCAGTCTTCCAGAAGGTGACCTCAGTGTTCATTGCCAATCCTGCATTCCAACCCCTATACTCAGGTCTCATCTTCATAACATCAATGCCCCCCCAGTCCTATATGCAGCAGTTGCTGGCTAATACAGGGTCAATCTGTAATAAAGTTTGCCCTAAGCTCAGATCACATTACGTATACTAAGTGAAGACTAGGTTTAGCATACTCCCTTCTATATGAACCAAGGCTATAACTGTGACAAGTCCATGGTGGCCATGGAGGCTAGGAAGCAAAAGCATCAGCAAACTGCAACAAACTATTTCCCCAGGCTGCAGAGAATAAGCATTAGTGAGTCTAATACTAGTCTTGAGATGTAGTGTAGAAGCTTAGAGAGGTCCACTGCCAACCAGCTGTTTAATTATTACACCATTTGCCTCTCTGTCCCATTTCCACACAGAGATACTAATAATTTCCAGGACAGTTCTCCCGGTTAGTGCAAGAGATTCACATACTATCATAACTAACCTTCCTCCCCAGTGCCGAGACTGCTGCAGGATCTAAAATAGCAGATTTCAAAAAGGGCTACATCCCATTAATTCCCAATCAGGCTTCAGTAATTCATATAAGCTATGTATATTTATCTATTACCATGTTTTAGACATAAATGGTCTTATTTTACACAGACCAGTTGCATTTGTTGACCATGCAGCATTGGAATCTGATATCTGAAATGGGCTCTCAATTTTTGTAATCTGGGATCCAAGGCACCCAATAATTCAGTCATCTAGGCCAAGAACTAAGGCAACCACAAGCTCTACCTGATATTAAAACATGAGCAGCAATGATACTAACAATGACTCTTCTTATCTTCTATGTCAACATTATCTCAGTTCCCCGTTTGTTAAATCAAGTACAGTATATAATTTCATTATCCATTAACAAAGAACAATTATACTTACCATTGATTCTGGACAATATTCAGGAGCACGTTGCAACAGGTGTTTCAAATGAGAATCGCTCTTAGATGCCAAAATCTGTTGAAAGAATTGTTAAGAAAATATTGCATGGTAAAAATAGCACAACATAGCATTTTAAGCTTGTAGACTGCTCCACAGCGCTTTACAGCACTCTCTGGGTGGTTTGCAATGTAGAAGCATTATTCGCAAATTGCCTCCAACAATCTTCTAGATCCTCATTTTACCGACTCTGGAAGGACGGAGGGCTGAATCAACCTTGAACCCCATCAGGATAGAACTCTAAGCCAGTGATGGCAAACCTTTTAGAGACCGAATGCCCAAAAACTGGCCCCACCCCACTCCACCCCCTGCTCCGCCCCCAGCCTGCCTGCCTGCAGGGCCCACTCACCGCCATCAGGACCCGCCATAGATCGCCCAGCAGCGCCATGGCGGCCACGCCCCGCAGCATCAACTGTGCACGATGGGGCATGAGGGCAGAGTCTTGTCTACTCTGTCTGGCTGCCATGTCCTTGGCTGCACTGCTCCGCGTAAGCCACGCTCAGGGACGACTCTCCTCCAGGGGGCTGCTGATGAGGAGGGGGTCGCGAGGGAGGCAAGGCTGGGGCAACGGCATGTGCCCACAGAGAGGGCTCCGAGTGCCGCCTCTGGCACCTGTGCCACAGGTTCGCCACCACTGCTCTAGACTGTGGGCAGAGTTTGCCAGCAATATTGCACTTTAACTCTGAGCCACCAGGGCTGAACTTCAATCTCAATTTCAATAAAATTTGCATGCAAACAGAAGTATATGCAGACATATTTTATAGTGTTTTAGCTATACAATGTATGTTGCATTGATATTCTAATATCAACACAAAACCATTCTGTCTTGCTAGCTTCCTGTTTCAAACCACATAGCACTGCCAGCTTTACAAAGCCAAGATGCATTAATGACAGAATACAGAAAAGTTATGAACAATTCACTCCTATTGGTGCATGCCAACCTTCCTCATTTATCAGCCGGAAGACCTCCAGTCCAGGAAACCTCCACTGGTGCTTGCACAACATCTACCTAACAACTTTAACATTGATTCCCAATGGAAAGCCAAATAGGTTGCTGAACGCTCAGACATAGCAAAACATATAAATGACCCCACAAAAAGATGTTAGACTTTGAAGTACCACACTAGAAATGAACAGTACTGAATAGGATTCGGACCTCACATGGCATCTGCTCGGACTCACTATATAAATGGGGAATAGTATCCTCCCCTCAGTTTGACTTCAGAGTCTCATATCAAACTGTAGACCACACTGTGACCAGCTGTAAGTGGAGGGCATACACCGGTCCAGTATCTAATTTTTTTCATATAAATGATGCTGTGCTTCAATTGTTAAATGGTCTTGATATTTGTATCTGAACATAGATCTTTTTAACATTTATATTTTATATAACATTTATATTTTATTGTTTTACTAATCTAGGTGGAATGTTAATATATATTGCTAGTCCATATATGATATGCCATATGCTAAATAAATCAAGACAGAGTTTCTCCCCAATGAAACAAAGCAGCGCACACTGTTTAAAGAATTATTCTTGATAACCAGAGCCAAAGTTGTGGCCTAGAGAAGTTCAAAGACTGCAATTTCTTTCAAAAACAACAATTTATATTAGTAAAATAACTTCATATAATAACTAGGCTCTAAAATTTAACTATTGTTAATCTCCAAAGCTGATATACCATTTTTTATTGTAAATTGTAGAGCTCTGTCAAAAATTTGCTAACCATGCAGTGGGTCCTGTATGTTATGGAACATACAACATGGGAATCTGATATCTGAAATAAACACTCAATTCTTTTAAAACTCATATGCTACTGAGGAAGTTTAGGACTCCAATGTAAAATTTGAGACATGCTGCTTCATATGGATGCTTCGTACAAAACAAAAAACTATTGAAGCTAGAAGGTCATGACTTGAGATTTGGATAGCTATTTATTAACTGCTATTTATAGCATGATAAAATTAAGGTTAATATATAGTTTAAGAATTATTTTGTTAGCCATGCATTATTAAGAGTTTGAACCAGATATAAAGCAAGAAAGATATTTTTCTGTGGTTGTCATCATGGGAAGCCTTTTTCAGAAGAGAAATGAGAAAAGCACTTAACATTTGCTAAAAGAAAATCCACCTTAAAACATGGGAAAACTTGGAGAAAGAGGGTTTTATTTGTCAGTGTCTTATGTATGTTCAATTGTTTGAAAGATTTAAATTGGTTAAAAGGAACTTCACTTTTACATATAACTGATTTTCAGAAGAATGCATAAGGGTCCACAAGCAGCCTGCATGATGTGAGCACAGAGAAGTTTAGGAGCGTCCATGGATAGAGGAGACTTACTCCAGCAACTTACAAGCTTCCTTGCCAACTTCCTCCTTGATTTTCTGGGGAAGCTGGCAAAGAAGGTTGCAAATTGTGATCACATGATTTCAGGGCTGTGCAATTCGTTGTTAAGGGCAGACCATTGTCAAGCACTTAGACTGCAGCGTTACTGGGCCAGCCAGAACTCCAAGAAGCAGTCATAACCAATTCAGCATCATTGTAACTTTGAACAGTCAATAAACAAATAATCAAAGACTAAAAACTATCTGTATTCTCTCTTCCTGAAACCATCCTTCAGATACTTGAAAATTAATCATGTCCTCTCAGTTGTAAGTTTAATTTCTAGACTCATTGCCTCTTCTAAACTGGATCTAATTTCTCATTGTCCTTTTTCGACTGGGATATGCAGAACTGTACCTAGTAGTTCAACAGAGGTCATTCCAAGGCAAAGGAAAATAGAACAAATACTTGCCATAATTTGATCCTTAAGCACATCTTAATGCACCCCAAGATAATTCTTGACATTTTAGCAGCTCCACCATGTTGCTGATTCTTATTTAATTTGTAGTCAACAAAAATAACCTGTTGGATCTCTCACTTGCCAAAGAATCTGATTCCCAGTTGATATCAGAGTAGTTGAAAATCTCCAAACATTTCACCGGATATATTTCCTGGACATGTCAGCCTTCTGACTTACAAAGATGTCATCCCTACATTTTATTTGGTTAGATAGCCTATAGTACACATCCACAAATTCTTCTTCCTTCTTCCCTCAATATTCACCCAGACACTTTCAGCAGTATTTTTTCCTTTGATGTCACAAATGTCCACTTTTGTTGAATCTCCTTCTTTTGAAGAATTTATATCCTTTCAGCAATACATTCCAATCATGAGTTCCATTAATTTCTGATTGCTTGATGCATTACTGATAGGTTTCAGTAATACCATCAATGTCATACAGTACTTGCCTTTACCATACTGTAATTTAAATTTTTTCCTGCCTACTCTGAGAATTACTGTAGATATATCTGAGTCCTTTGGTACTTCCCTTATTAGATTTGCCTGATGCATTTCCTAGTATCTTCCTGAGAATCTTTTTCTTGTCTTCCAGCTTATAATTTGAATCTGGCTCTGGGTATCAGTCTGTCTCCTCCTTCAGATATAGATTAAAGCTCATCAGTTGGTATCTTCTGAATTCATTTATCCTGTCTTTGTGAGGAACAACTCATCTCTCACTCAAAGCCCTTCCAAAATCCCGTTTTCCTGACAGCTCCCTTTCTCTCTTACCTCCAGGAATGTTTGTTCCTTCCTTTTCTGATTCTATTCCTCTCACCAGCGTCACCCATCACTACCACACATATTTCCCAACTGCTCAATTTTTCTCTTTCAAGGAAGCTCAAACTTTTTTTTATCCCTGGAACACTAGACAATTTTTTTTAAATTTTTTTTAAATTTTTCCAAACTTTCCCCTATACATATACTGTGATATTTATCAGATATTAACATACATTCTTTTTACTTTCTTATATATAAGATACTTTTAATGAAATAAATACATGCACATGACTTTTGGTGTTGCTCGCCCATTTCCCGTTTTACTGCATTCCCACTCCTTCTTCTCTACCTTCTTTCTCCCTTCCTTCTCTTTCTTCCCTACTTCCCTCTTCTTCCTCTCCTCTCCTCTTCTCTTTCACCACTCTCTCCTCCAACCTTCCTACTTCCTTCTCCCCTCCTTTACTCTTTTCTCTCTCCTCTCCTTTCTTCCCTCTCATCCCTCTTCAGATACAATTCAGGGGTAATGTCC